AAATAAAATAAAAAAACATCTTTGCCCTGGCCGGTTTGGCTCAGTGGATAGAGCGTCAGCCTGCAGACCAAAGGGTCCCAGGTTCGGTTCCAATCAAGGGCACATACCTTGGTTGTAGGCTTCTCCCCAGTCTGGGCCCTGGTCGGGACTCATGCGGGAGGCAACCAATTGGTGTGTTTCTCTTACATCTATGTTTCTCTCTGTCTTTCCCTCTCTCTTCCAATCTCCCTAAAAATCAATGGAAAAATATCCTCTGGTGAGGATTAACAAAACAAACAAACAAGTTAAAAGAAACAACACCTTTATTTTTAGGGAATAAAATATAGGATGTGAAAGAATGATTACCTATGCTTAGAAAACAAAATGCTATCTAAAGCAAAAACCCAGATTACTATTTTCCCGACTCTAGTTGCAATAGTCACTAACAAAGTTAATACAAAATGAGGAAGACTAGCCAGATTTTTACGTCTTGGAGAGTAAAAGAATTTCCATTTCAGGCGTTTTTGTCTGCAAATTTAGGTTGCAAAATTCCAGTATAAATAAAAACTACCCACAAAAAAAAACCCAAACCCCAAAACACACACACACTAAAAAAAAACCACACAAAAAAAAAACCCTAACCAAAAAGCAAAGAGTGACATGAACTAATCACATTTGGGTTTCACGTACTGTGCTCTTTTATACCCACTGAATAGTCTTTAAGATCATTCCAAGTCACATGAAACCACACTTTGTGAAACTTGAAGTTTTAGGTGACTTTGCAAGTTTCTCTTTAAAAGACTAATATGCCACCTCACAATAAGCAGCCCTGGGAAGTCACAAGGAGAAAAGGGACCAAAATAGAATTCGCACTGGATGGCCTCAAGCGATTTCTTCAAAACCATTTGAAACACAAAGGCATTTTAGTTTTGAGCACCTTTGGGGGAATTCTGTATGTGCGCTTAGGCCTTCAGGGTCTAGCAAAGCAAGTTAAACAAGTTGGGAGAAAAGAACTTATGCAAATGTGCAGGTCATCTGGTTTGCAGATAACTCAGAAGTAAACTTGTACTCTTATTTTTTTATTTTTCAGAAGTAAACTTGAAGCTATTACAATGAACATTCTATGAATATTTATTTTAAAATATGTTTTATTGATTTCAGAGAGAGGAAGGGAGAGGGAAAGAGAAATGGAAACATTAATGATGAGAGAGAATTATCAATTGGTTGCCTCCTGCATGCCCCACACTGGGGGTTGAGCCTGCAACCTGGGCACATGCCCTGACCAGGAATCCAACCATGACTTCCTGGTTCATGGGGTCAATGCTAAACCATTGAGCCACACCGGCATGGCATCTATGAATGTTTAAAAGAGAAAAAAACCCAGCTGCAACCACACAGAAGGCTTGTAGTGTTTAAACAATTATACCACTTGTTTAAACACTGTTTGCAAGGCCTCAAAGAAGTCATTTCCTTTTCAATTCATTTATTAGAGAAGTGTTGGGAGAGTCAACGGCTGAAGCAATGGCCTTCGTCTGACTGATTTATTCCTGTTTTTCTGTAAGTAGATTTGGAACTTCAGACCTAGAGGGGGTCAGAGTATGCCACCCTGGGATATGCCATCCTCATCTAAGGATCATTCTGAGCGGAAAGCGAATGAGAAAAAGCAGGCACAGGATGAGCTTCCTGCCCTCCCTGAAAACAGAACAGAAATTCCCCTCATGAATTCCGTACCAGGAAGTGGGTAACAACCTTATCACTGGAGACGAGATGGCACTGAGACTACACAAATGACTAAATAACCACTACCTTCCATTAGGTTCCCCATATATTTACTTTCCCAGTTTGCTGCCCCTAGAAACCAAAAGCCCCTTTCGTTTGTCTTCTCTACAAATGTATTGTTCTTTGTTAAAATGCCATGTAAGCCCAAGTTTTAACCAGCCCTTTGAGTTACTCATCACTGAGTTTCTCCTGTGGGTATCATGTAGCAATTGGTAATAAACTGGTTTTCTCTCGTTGATGTGTCTTTTTCAGTCTAATTTGCAGCCTCCCAAGTGTTTTGTCCTCCCCTGCAGACCTAAAACACATGCCCTTGAGAACATGAAGACTCCCTAACATCAGAAACTGAATGTCATAGTTCAGTGGTTCTCAACCGTCTGGCCCTTTAAATACAGTTCCTCATGTTGTGACCCAACCATAAAATTATTTTCGTTGCTACTTCATAACTGTAATGTTGCTACTGTTATGAATCGTCATGTAAATATCTGATATGCAGGATGGTCTTAGGCGACCCCTGTGAAAGGGTCGTTCGACCGCCAAAGGGGTGGCGACCCACAGGTTGAGAACCCCTGTCATAGTTGAAGAGTTTACATACCCTGGAGCAGGGGTCCTCAAACTTTTTAAACAGGGGGCCAGTTCACTGTCCCTCAGACCGTTGGAGGGCCGGACTATAGTTTAAAAAAAAAACTATGAACAAATTCCTATGCACACTGCACATATCTTATTTTGAAGTAAAAAAACAAAACGGGAACAAATACAATATTTGTATTTGCATGTGGCCCGCGGGCCGTAGTTTGAGGACCCCTGCCCTGGAGACTTTGCAAAGAAAAAAAAAAACCCATAACTCCTTCCACAAATCAAGGACTCAAAATAAAACACTGTAGGATTAGTTATAGGGTAACTTTCACGGCTTAAGGGAGACCTGTAAACTGAGAAAAGAGGGAAAAATAACAAAGCTCTAGTTACACAATGTTAGAGCCTCAAGGCACTATTCACTTTGTCCTGCATCTCTCGGAACACATTTCTCAGAAGTCAAAGTAGCCTGGCCGGTGCGGCTCAGTTGGTTGGAGCATCGTCCAGTGCACTGAAGGGCCGCAGGTTCGATTCCTGCTCATACCCATACCCGGGTTGTGGGTTCGATGCCTGGTATTGGTGCATATGAGGCAACCGATCGATATTTCTCTCTCACATCAATGTTTTTTCTCTCTCTCCCTCTCTTTTCCTCTCTCTCTAAAAATCAATGAGAAACATGTTCTTGGGTGAGGATTAAAAAAAGAAGAAGTTAATATTGAGGCAGTCGCTGACAGTGAATTTGGAGGAAGAAAAGCTGGGAGCAGCTCGAGTTGGGCTACCTGTGGTTGTGTAGCTTGGGCAAGTCACAGCACCTCTGTGGACCTGTTTCATCACCTGTAAAGTATACAGAACAACAGTCTTTTCTTAGAACCGTGAAAAGGGTCTAGAGCCTAGGTATGAGCAGTTCTCAACTGTGACAGCATCTCAAAATAACTCGAGAAATTAAAAAGAAGCCCAGCCCGTGTGGCTCAGAGGTTGAGCATCGTCCCAGGAACCAAGAGGTCACTGGTTCCATTTCCGGTCAGGGCCCATGCCTGGGTTGCAGGTTCGATTCCCAGTAGGGGCGTGCAGGAGGCAGCCTATCGATGTTTCTCTCTCTCTATCCCTCTCCTTCCATCTCTCTCTAAAAATAAAAAAAAAACATATTTAGGAACAAAATTAAAAAGGAAATGTTGACGCCTGGGTTGCAGCCCACAGATTCAGATGTGATTGTTCTAGGGTTGGCCCTCAGCCTCGGTGGAGTTTCAAAGTTCCCCAAGTGATTCTAATATGCAGCCACTGTTGATAACTACCGGCCTATTGCTAAAGTAGCGCTTCTCAAACTATTTTGGACAGGATCACGTGGGGATCCTGCCAAAATGCAGGTTCAAATTCAGTAGCTTGGGGCCGAGAGTCTGCATTTCTAACAGGCTCATAGGTTATGCTGAGCTGCTCTCAAACACTCTGAGGATAGCAAAGTACCATGTGGCCACAAAGCACAATGCAGACAGTCACCCACTCTCTAGCCAAAGCATCAACTTTTAGTGATAGTGGTGCAGACTTCAGCAAATGACTTCCTTAGGGTTTTAAATATATGTGTGTGTGT